GAGAAGCCCGACCCGAACCTGTTTTACTTCCGCATTCCTGTCGTTTTGGTCCGCAGCAGAAACTGCACGTGTGACCGCAAGTGGAGCTGCGCCGACGCTGCGCCGGTGCTGTCACGCTCAGCGGCTTTGCACGTGTGACCGCTCCACAAAATTTGCTCCGGTGTAAAATACATCGCAACAAAATATTTCGGTGCAGCGTCGGACCAAATGTGTGCCATGTGAACAGGGCTTAAGACTTGGCTAAAATCTCCCCACTGTACATGAATGAGCAGACGTAGATGACTTACTGGGGATTCAAGACAAAGTTCAGGTTTTAAGATTCAGATTAAGATATCCTTTATTTGTCCCACAATGGGGAAATTTACAGTCCACAGCAGCAAGATAATGGGGAGAAAGAAGAAAGAAGAAAAAGAAAACAAACACTGTTCAATTAAGTGCAATATAAATACAGATATGGATAAGGTCGTAGTGCTATTTACAATTGTCTTCCACATCATTTTATTTATTTTTTATTCAGCAGCCTGACAGCAGTCGGTAGGAAGGAGCGGCGGTATCTCTCCTTCTTGCAGCGCGGGTGTAAAAGTCTCTGGCTGAAGGAGCTACCTAGTGCTGTCAGGGCGGGCTGGAGGGGGTGGGAGGGACTGTCCATCATAGCTTTTAGCTTAGTTAGCATCCTCCTGTTGCCCACCTCCTCCAAAGGGAGGATAAACCAATTTTTAAACCAAAGTTACTAATTTATGCAAGGATTCCAAACCGGGTTTAGGAAGTTTAGGTTTTCAAATTGGGGTTTCAAGAGTGGTTAAGGTTTCAGGTATGTGTTAGGGTTTCAAAATAGAGTCTCGAGACAGGGTTATGGTTTCAAATTAAGTTTTCAAGTTTGGGTTAGCGTTTCAAATTTGAGTTTATCTGGTTTGGAGTTTTATATGATGGTTTCAAATGGACGTTTGACTGCTATGAGTTGATCACGCTTGCTGTGATCTTAAACTGAGACGATGATTGTTATTTAATTCCCTTTTATGCTGTTATCTGTGTTTCATACATGTGTTAATGTTTCATGTAAGGGTTTGGGTTTCAAATGAAGTTTGAAGACAGTTACTATTTCAATGAGGTCTTAAACCAGGGTTAGGGTTTAAATCTAGATTAATCTTTCAAATTAGGGTTTCAAGTCTGGATTAGGGTTTCAAATTTTTTTTTTTAAGTTTGGGTTCGGGTTTTAAGTAAGGATAACGTTTTCAAATGAGGTTTTCAAAGCAAAAGTCACCACCTAAGCATGACATCCCGTGTTGTGTTTCCCCACCCGTAAGGCATCCTGTCGGTGCTGTCGCTGTCGTCCGAGTGCACGTCCCTGGCTTCGGAGCTTCCCAAGGTGTCGTACGTGAAGGCCATCGACATCTGGCTGATCGCCTGCCTGCTGTTCGGCTTCGCCTCGCTGGTGGAGTACGCCGTGGTGCAGGTCATGCTCAACAGCCCCAAGCGCATTGAGGCCGAGAAGGCCAAGATGGCGTCCAAGGAGAAGGTGGCGGGGAAGGGCGCCGCCAATGTCGCCACAAGGAACAACACCGTCAATGGCACCGGGGGGACGCCGCTCCATGTCAGCACCTTGCATGTCAGTGCATCCTGCGAACACCCGATCGCACGAGTTTTCAGACTTGACGTTGCTGTTACGTGGGCCAAGTAGGAATTCAAATGCAAAACAGGCGAGAGCCCATCAACAAAATGCCTGCGTATTGAAACGGTCAGGATTCAAGTGTGAGCCGCACAGGTCTTCCTGCTATCCAATTGACTGTCATTCTAAGCAAAGTTAGTGTCTGGAATTAATGTTCCAGCCAGGTCTAAGGTTTGTTATTTCAAATTATCCCTTAGGGGTGAGTTAAGGTTTCAAATTACGGTTTTAAGCAAAGGTTAGTGGTTTCCTCCTAAAGTTTATAAGGCGAAGATAAGTTTAAAATTGGGGTTTCAAGACATGGTTTCAAAGTCGGATTTAAGTACATGATAGAATTCCAAGTTAGGTTTTCAAGACAGGGTTACTTCTGAAGTAGGGTTGTAAATGATGTGACTGCACAAAGCAGAAGCTGTGTGGATACTTAATCATAATAAGATAAGATAACCTTTATTTGTCCCACACTGGGGAAATTTGCGGTCTACAGCAGCAAAATTGGGGGGGGGGGGCGGTTAATAAAATATCAATCAAATACATAAAAGTAAAATGAATTGAATCTAGATTTAACTGCACACCATTTTAAAATTCTAAATAAATATGTAGAAAGTAGTGATTATGCATCCAGTTGAACGAATTCCAAATTTAAAATGTTTTTTTTAAATGCATAAAAAAATCGAACTGGAAAGACATTTAAAAATGTATCAAATGAGACAAAAACAATTAATAAAAATGGATATGGAATAAAATTAGAATGGAAACACTTGAAAATAAAAACCAAATATAATTCCAAATAAGTAAAAATAAAATACAGCATTAAATCGACTTAAAAATTAATAAAATTGCATAACAAATGAAAATTATGTAAAAAAAAAAAAATTGCATGCATAACAATGAAAAAATGTTTGGAAAATGCATTAAAATAAAAGTCTCAAGAAATGCCCTAAAAATGAATTGAAATGTAAGTAAAAATACACAACAAATTCATGAAAAAAATGTATTTCAAAATTTAAAAAAATAAAAAGTAAATATAAATGAAAAGATAATGAAACCAAAAAGCTTAAAAATACATTTTAAAATGCAAAACAATTGTTGCATACAAATATAATTTAAAAATATACAGTTGCATAAAAGTCATTTTTTAATGCATTAAAAATATTAATAAATGAAATTAAATAGAACTCTAACTATATATCAGTGAAGCCTTCCTTTTAACTGATGAGCCAATTCTAAATAGAAGTGCTTTCTTTAAGAATGGCTAAAATCTCCCCGCTGTACATGAATGAGCACACGTAGATGGCCTGCTTTGGACTCAAACCCTGTCTAAAAGTCACAGGTGGAAAAATTCTAACTACTGTTATGCCAGTTTGGCCGTGTGGAAGAGGCTCGAGGACATACACTCATTGTGAAAAATGTGAATTTCTTTTCCTCAATATTTGACGATTGGGATTTAATTTGTGATTATTTTTTTCTCAATATTCTCTTGCGATATATTTTTGAATGAAATCGGGCAATAAATTATGATATTACAGATATATTTTTTTCCCAATAGCTGCCCTTACGATTTGAAAATGATAGCCCACTGCAGTTTTCAGTGGCTGATTCGTGAACGGACATTGACATCAGTGTATGGTTACAGGTGGCGGAGACGCGCTGCAAGAAGGTGTGCACATCCAAGTCGGACCTGCGCACCAACGACTTCAGCATCGTGGGCTCACTGCCGCGGGACTTTGAGCTGTCGAACTTTGACTGCTATGGCAAGCCCATCGACACGACCAGCAGCGGTGGCAAATCGCAGGCCAAGAACAACAAGAAGCCGCCACCCCCCAAGCCCGTCATCCCGTCGGCTGCTAAGCGCGTGGACCTGTACGCCAGGGCCCTCTTCCCCTTCTCCTTTCTCTTCTTCAATGTCATCTACTGGTCCTGTTACTTGTGATTACAGACACACCAAAAACATAAAAAGTCTGTCCTTCCTCCTGTAATCCCACCCATACAGAACTAAAACTACCGTTTAAAATCTATTTATCTCATCTAAATGTTATTTATCATCACTGCTGATGATTTAGTCAACAGCTTTGCCAAATGCACATTTCTATAAAAAGAGCTTATATCAGGGGTGGGCAAACTAAGCCTCGGGGTCATATATGGGGCACGCAAATTTTTCAAATCTGGCCCACCAATTATGGAAAATAGGAACAGCACTTGTTCTACATTTTGTTATGTCACAGCCTTACTCCAAACATGAGCTTTGGGGTTTTTTTGCCCTGCAAATTTATATAAAATTGTTAAAAAAAAACCAACAAAAAATTGTCAATGCTGTAGAACGGTTGATACATTTTTTTTCAAGTTAAATAAACGTAAAATTCCAGTAAAATAAACAATTTGAGATGAACATTTACTAGCTTTATTGTTTTTTATTTTATTTTTGGTTTATTCATCTTATCTGCGCCCATCTGTCTGTTTTTGAAAATGGACCTTGAGCAAAAAAGTTTGTCCACCCCTGGCGCATAT